TCATTTTAATTCTTTAAAACCAGCAAAAAGTGTCCCTTTTAATTCTGAAGAGGGTTTAGTCCGTCTAGATTAAGTTTCACCACTTTGTCGTAAATATACCTAGCTTTCGATTGAATCAGAAAAGTAATTTAAAATTCTCATTTCCCTTACTGACCCATCAAAATTTCCATAATTTTGTTTGACATACGATTGAGCGTATTGCCTTAGGGAGTGGAGGTTGTTTGGGGAATCATCCTCATTTTTTTTAAATGCTAATTTAATTTTGCGGTTGCAGTTCTTTGACCCGAAGTCGGAGAGAATTATCATGATTGCAGCTGCGACAAACGTTCCTTCTCCTGCAAGCTTACCCCGGGAGTAATATGTTCATCCAGGTATGTCTCAACATGTTCATTTCCAAATGGCTTCGAATCGCGTCCAAGCCACAGGCAACGCAATCCACAAAAATGATACTTCCAACTATGAGAATGGGCCACCAGAGGCAATTCCCAAAGTTATTTACCTACATTCCAATCACGCTTTGGATAGAGCTGAGAAAAAAGTCAAGCGTTTAGACCATCGTTACCCAACACGACTTGAAGAAAGTGAATATCCTAAGCAACCCCCAGCACAGACCAAAGAAGGTTATTTCAATAAACAACATGCAAGACTAGACACTGCTTCTGCTGAGACAAATTTACACAATGAACCAACTGACGGTCGACCCAACAGCATAAAAAAGATTTCAAGATTTGAAAATGTGCCTAAATGTCTTGCTTGTTTACCAATCAATGAATGCCCTGATATTGATGCTAGAAGATCTTTGACGCACTTTGAAAGGACTCAAAGATCCTATGCACGAGTACATCAAAATGGGCATCCTGTTGCTAGCGAAAACGAATACTTGTCTCAGAAGAGTGTGGCATATTTTAAACCAAGAGGCTATCAAACAGCCAGGGTAATCCCATTCATCTGGCATTCAGCGGAATTCAGTCCAACGCCAACCAATTGGAACCGAAGTATCCAATGGAGATCGAGAACTTGAGACTTCCACACACACTTGGAAGACCGATGCATCACCCACATCCTAAGTGGCGAAATCCTGGTCCAGTTCCGTTTCCAGATCCTATCCATTTTTATTCAGAAGAAAGTACTAATTTATTGAGAGAAAATCGAGAGCCAGACGTAAATTTGGCCAAGCGCAAACCATTCAATGTGGTAGTTTCAAATGCCATCCAGCCAACTTCACCGTTGTCAAATTCAGTAATGCCTTCCGTGCAACATTCCTCTGCTGAGAGCGATTATTATAGTGCAAGACAGATAACGGCAGATTTGTCTTCGGCTTCCACATCCAGGGCAGTCCATGCGTCCACATCTCCCAGTGGTATTCCCTCAGCCATACCAGCAGCGTCCCCTTATTATCCACAAGATATCAATCGATTGTCAAGAGGAGAGAATGAAAAAGACCCAACCTCGACCAAATGTCATATGTGCCGTGAGTCAGGAAAACAGGCTACTGCTGCCTTGCCAGATCACATAATGAATGCAGTGCCCACAGATGTTCAGTTAGTATCTCACCCTCCAGCACGCCAGTTGCCAATTTATACGCCAGAAGAGGCTAGCGAGAATCGCTCTCAAAAAGCCCGCTCTCCAGTCCATATTGTACACGTTCCTCCTAATGCAAGCCGTCTTAACGCTCCAAGGCCTTGTTACGCAGCCAATCTAAATGGTCAGTCGTGTTACCGCACTTGGGACGTACGTCAGCCAGTTTCAACCAGTGCAAGTCAATCACTCAAGACTAATAGAAAAGTGTAATACACAGCTGGCTATGCCCCAAGTCAGTCCAGTGCTTCAGAAGGTCTTATCAAGGTACCTTTTCAATATTCTTGCCAATCTACCTTTGAAGGGTTTTGTCGCCCCCCGGGAAAAGAGACTAGTGCTCCAAACCATCGCATTGACTCGATGAACTGTATACAACAAGAAACACCGCCCTTTTCTAAATCAAATGCCATGATAGTACCTCTACCACGTCACCCAGATTATGTAGCGCCGGCAGTCTGTCAACCAGTAAGCGCCCATGGTCTCGTGACCTCTAATCTGCGATATAGATCGATGAATGGCCATGTCCCTGCAGAACCCAATAATACTTCTCGCAGTGCAAACTCTGCGTTTCAAGAGCAACGGAAAAGCCGAGGTGGTCCTTATTCGAGAGTTAACTCATGTAGCGCCCCTAAACAGCAACCACATGATGAAAACAGTGCTGATGACTTCAAATATGGCGGTCCTTCAAGCTAGAGTAATGTTTCACGGTATGCATCAGGTAACATTACTAGGGGCTACCCTGCAATCCTAACGCGCGATCAAAGAGTATGCGACAGTTTGACAACAACGAAAGAACCTCACTTTTACACCTCAGTGGACTCAAAGCCACAAGGTCATAGGAAGAAAGAAGACTGTAAGTTCTCCGAAGCAGCAACGAGATGCCGAGAAATGTTGCAACCTCGCGAAGATAGGATGCCTGGTATTGATCGAGAGCAACGGGCCAAAAAACTGGAGAAGTTCACCAAATTTGCTGTCGGCATAGAAACAAGAATACATTGGGATAAAATCAGGGACAACAACGAAAACTCGAACAGGAGTAAGGAGCATAACATGCAGATTGTGAGCGTTTCCAGTACGCACAGTCAACGTGATGATCCAACAGAGATGCATGCCAATTTCTCTCAAATTGAATCTGATGACGTTTTCTGTATGATGCGCCTGGAGAGAGTGTACTACTCCATCAGTGCCGAACCCTCCCTTCATGTCCAGAGTTCTATCATTTCCCGGGAACAAGCTTCCGAACCTAGTGAGTTTGGTGTTGATGCTCACAAAGGGCTTACTAATCTCCGTGGTGATAGGTAAAGAAAAAAAAAGGTTAAGTCTGCATACGAGCCAAGTGGCCCATNCCCAAGAACACAACGCAATGTCCCCGGCCAGGGCTCGAACCCGGACCGCTCGATCCGGAAACGAGCGCACTAACCATGAGGCCACCGCGCCTCCCTTCCGTGGTGATAAACAGCGGATAATTGCCAACGATGAATGCTGTTTCAAACAACCCAGTTATGTCGCTTCGAGAAACAAAACCAGTGAAAGTGTGAAAGTACCTAATAATAAGAGGAAAGCAAATATCAGCAGTACTAAAGGAGATGAAGTTTGCAATGCAAAGCGAAAGAAGATTGAGAAAAACAAATCAAAAGTTTCATTAAAAGGGACAGTTACTCAAGCCTTACAAAACGTTACGAAAAGTGTAGAAATTCTTCCCACGAAAGACCTGACCTTTCAACTAGAAAGTGACAGTCAGACATTTTTGGAAGATCTGAAAAAGACATCCGTGGAGGCAGACGCTCGTATCATGCGTGAGAGAATCCACAAGCGGTGTTCGAGGAAGGCGCGGGTCAACAGTTAATAAATTTCCCCTCTCAAGAAATAACTGATCCAGAGCCGGACTTGAACCTTAGCTGTAACATAAAAGAACTGATGAACTTTAGCAGAAGACAAAGGCCTAACTTGTAATAACAATGTCAGCTCAATAGACCCACAAAAGCTAAAATAAGCAGCATTACGAAAGGTCAGAAATCCACGGCGATTATAAACTCCTAAGCTAGTTAGCATTATTTACTCACCTATCCAGAATCACGCATTTCTAAGATCTCTGTACGTAAGGGGCTAAGACAGAAACTGCAAAATATTTACTATATTTATCGAAGTTTGCTTCATTTCGTTTTCAGTGTAAGAGTACACTTGAAGTTTCATTTCCTTCGGATCCATTCAACCTGGAAGAAAGTGACGTTGATGTTCTGGCCTCAGAGGATAGGTCAAAATTTTTAGAAACCAGAAAGTGCAAGGGACCGCATACGATAAACGCTGCAAACGTAGGATCTACAAGAGATCTGATCAGCCAAAAAAATGTCTTAAGACAAACAATAGACTGCAAGGCTGATACTACGTGAAAAACGTTTCGAGACAGCAACATGACAAGAACCGATAAAGTAGGATCAGTGGACATCAGTGAACAGTGGACAGCTGCAAAACTTTACGCTGGTTGATGCAACTGTACCTGGCTGAATCTAGTGTATAAAACGTAAAGATAATTTAGGGAGGGTCCTTTTTTAACTTGAAACTGCTGCTGTACCGTGACAAAACACACTGAAAATACGTACGGAGGTATTAGACACAGTACTAGAGTCTGTGAGTCCCAAGACTATACAGTACAGAGTGTTTCTTATGCATTATGACATAGAAACAATAAACCACGTTTGTCCATCTTTTATACTCTGAAAAAAAAAGCTTTTGAGGAAAATCAATATTGAATTGTCCGGTAGACGGCGTTATTCGTTTCTTGGACAACCGGGTCGATAGACGGTCTAGCTTTCATTTGACAAAAAAATGGGTGAAAATGAATGAGAATGAGACATCAGAATCTCAACTCACAAAAAAAGCCCAAAATAACTGACTTCTTGTAACCATTATTAGTTGCCTTGTATAAATTCGCTCTCTCCTAAAACTTGTCCGTTTTATCTTACTTTTTAAATCTTATTTCACTGTAGTTGTAATTTGTTTGTTCCATGTTTGTAGGTTTATTGTCTATTATTTTTTAACATTTTCTCCGCCCCTTTCTCACCTGCACCGAAAGTTAGCTAATTTTGTAAATATGGGGGCCAACTAGGAAACCGAATGGTTTACTTGATCCCCATACAATATTGCAAACATAAAAAGCTGTAATTTTACCTATAAAAGTAAATTGTGAGATTTATTGTCTTGGGTTACAGTATTTGCCCAGAAGTGAGAAGTGGACTGCATTTTTCTCGGTTAACTACAAGATCATCGTGTCGACAGTTCAGTGCATGTTTTTTCCCTGTCCAGTTCAGTAATAGTTAAATCGGCCCTCGGCTATGTCAACCATCACATCATAGAGATCTCGACCTCAGATAATGTGACCACCCATTTCTGTGTCACGCACATGTCACGCATAATTCCAAGAATTTAGTCTTTGGTTGACCGACTTGGCGCAACTAGAATGACTTCCTTCATAACTGTGCTGTTCGCGTTTTAGTGTTTTAACTCCACCTGCAATGGGAAACTCTTTGAAAATCGAGGGAGTTGAGATCAAAGAAGAACTTGGTGGTGGAAGTTACGGTGTTGTTTACAAAGCCAAGTGGAACGGGCAGTTTGCAGCGGTGAAAGTGCTCAGGGAAGACATGTTGTGGTGTCACCCAAAAGCATTGGAAGATTTCAAGAAAGAATGCGAATTCTTTCGGGTATTAAAACATCCCAACATCGTGGAAATGTTCGAAGTTCTTTTCCCAGAAAACAGGTCACCTGTTCTTATTATGGAGCTCATGTATTGTGATCTACAGTCGTACTACAAAAACTCGAAATCGTCGCCGAAGGTTGCGCTTGACGAAGTCATCCGAATCATGTTGGATGTTGGCGAAGGACTGAAATTTTTACATGACCGTGGGGATCCCATCGTACACCGAGACATCAAGTCTAACAACATTCTACTGGACACAAAACAGAGGGCCAAGATTGCAGATTTGGGTCAAGCCAAAGAGTTTCCCGGCCTGGGATTTGGCGCTCGTCTGATGGGTGCTACCCCTGTTCCAGGCACCACTGTATACATGGCACCAGAAACATTTCCCCGTGGCAGCCGTCAGTCTCAAGCTGTTCTCCATCGTGTTGATTACGGAGCGGAAATTGATGTCTTCTCGTTTGGTGTTGTTTTGCTGGAGGTGACAGTTGGTCACTTACCATGTCCGAGACCTCTGTTCACGCCGTTCACACGAGGTAAGTTTAGTCGCACCTCGATCCCGGTAGATGAGAAAATAATCATTTGATTTTTAAGGGGATATTGACGAGATCATATTTAGATTGGATCGCCTTGTATTCCTCTCTTTTTCTTCTATTTCTATATAAATTAAATTACAATTATTATGTTAATCCTTGCAATTGCAGACAATGTCGTCTAATTTTCACATAAACTATAACTTTCACACCCTGTAAGTTGTTTGCCCATTCTTATTTTTTCTTTTTGTTTTTCTCTGTATCCATGTTTTTGTGTGTATGAGATCAGCCTCCCACCAATATTTGTGAGCTAGGCTTGCTTGACAGTTAAGTCAAAGCCCCATTAAGTGGCCACCCTTTGGGAAATGGGAGGAGGCTATTTAATAGGGATTGATCACTTGATAGGGGTTGATGTACTTTGAATACTTTTTACCATCAGGTTAATTTTTTAGTGGACATAGAATCACATCATGATAATCATGATAAACATGTATTTGAATATTTTTATCAGTCATCCCTTTCTATTAACTGTCATCGCCTTTTCCAAAGCAAAGCTTAACTATGTGTCTTAAATTTTGGGAGGCTGTTTTACAGGGGATTAGAGACAATAAGAAAACCCTCATCGGTACGACCCAAACTTTGTCATGGCCACTGGTGGCTGGTTAATAAGGATTTTATTTGCAGTATAATTACTGACAATAGTTTTAGGACTTTGATAACTGGCCACTAATAGGTTAATTTGACTTCTTCATAGGTGGCCTCTTTATTGGAAGTTAGACTGAAATATAATATTTTTTATATTCCATCAAATATTTTCACTCGCATGCAAATATTGGTCTAAATGGGTCATGCAACTGAATATGCCTCACCTAAATCTGGGGAATATCCTAGTAATAAAATTCCCCCAATTTTGCAAAAAATATTTGAAGGATGAATAGACACAATAGTGCTCATTTGACTTAAAAAGTGCTTGGATATTTGCCCTTTGGACATACCTGTTCCTTGAAGGACCTCAAAGCTCACATTCTTCTTCAAGCTTTGCTCTTGGAAAGTTGTTCCCTACTCAGAACAGGGAGAGGGCACTTCCTGAGTTAGTAACAAGGCAGGTATACATTTAGGAGGCACAGGAGACAGTGTGGCCAAGTGGTTAGGTCGTCAGACTTGAATTCCGGAAGTCACGGGTGCAAGTCCTGCTCTGACCACTAATCTGGAGTTGTTTCTCAGTAGACCCAAGTTCAGCTCTTTGGCCACATTTGTAAATGGCCACCTGGTCTGCCTCCTGCCAGTTGTGATTTTTAACCATATTATGGTCATTTGCATTATTTGTTTCATTTGTTTCCATTGGCCCTGAAAAGCCCCACTAGGGGAGTGGTCAATGTAAGATATAGAAGATATTACACGGTGGCGAGAAGATATGAATTTTATGTTCGAGTGGCAAGAACAATATCTCACGAGTGAGCGAAGCGAATGAGTGAGATATTGTTCTTGCCACGAGAACATAAAATTCATATCTTCGAGCCAACGTGTAATGTTCTTTTTATTATATGGAGAAACCAATTCAACAAAAGCAAAAGGCGGGAATTGTGACTTCATTGAACGATACGACACTCACAAAGGTGGCATACGGAAAATACGCCACTCGGGTCCGGGATGAAGTGGCGTATGGAATCTACGAGTGGTTTAGTTCCCAGTAAAACACTCTTCTCCATATAATAAATGTATGTTATGTGGGTAAACTAGTGGATCTTGAGGTGCTTAAAATTGGGGTAAAAATAAATTGATGCAAAGGAACAGTTAGAGACCACGGGTGCTGACCATTTGCCAGAATAAACCAGTTGGGATGAATGTTGAATAATGGTAAGGGTTTTTCCAAAATCATCAAACCAGCTGAATGAGTTGGCACTTACAATTTGCAATTCAATTTCCCATTATTGTTTAATCAGCTGATTAGAGACTCGGGAAACTGGAAAATGTGGCAAATGGTAAGGACATTTCTGCTCTTCCAAATGAAAAAATGAGGACCAATCTGGAGGTAGTCTACAATATCCAAATGGGTTTCTCAGAAACCTACTGTTCCATTTGACTATTCACCCAAAATTTCCAGATATTTTTACTAAATGGTAAGCACCCTACCTCTGTAATCTCTATTTTAACTGGCTCAATTTGTAAACACTATCTCTATTAGTTTTCTAGTAGTGTTCTGATGCAAATGCTGCAATGTGATTGGCTGAGCTGTCATACTCTGTCAGTGTGCAAGGGCAGGAGGTCGTCCATAACTCAGGGGATGTTCTCTCATTTCTCTTATGTTTGGGACAAAGATTATGGGATGATTCAATTTCCAAGGAGGTTAGAGAAAGGAAATGATGGCCATCATGCAACTCAAAACCATAAAAATTGTCCAATAAATTGATGAGCTTATGTAAACAACTGTAAGTTTCAAATGCTAAATTGTGTGGTTCCAGAAAATATAAATAAAGGAAAGTATGAACCAAAACTGGAATTTCCAGAGGGACTGGGGGGTAATGACAAGCCATTAGCCTTATCTGTTTGGGGGGTATGGATATCTTTCCAGAACAACACAATTTTATCTGTAAATGATTTTGCTTAATAAGAAGTTTAATACTACTATGGCTTCATTTACTATCACTTCATGGAAATTTTGAGCTCATTGTGTTCACATAATGTAATGTAATCCTAATCCAGTGTGTATCGAGTGTTTGGCCTCCCCACAGTAGGGGCAAACTACATCATGAGTGCATGTATGCAGTCACACATGCGCCATAGAGATTTGCAAAAAGTGTGTATGATTTCTGCAAAGCTGAAGTTTGGCACTGTGATTGTGACGCGCTCGCCTTTGGCAACAAGTAACTTAAAAGCATCAGGAAAGAATGTTTTGTTGCTCGGTGACAGCAAATGGCCACAAGTTGTGGTAAGAAATCAAATCTTCCGCATAGCTTGGCAAATGGTCACATAATAATTTTTTTGATTTATAGCTCGGCAAAATTGGTTTTAAGAAAACAAATTTATGCGTTGTGTAACTTGCCAAAAGGCCATGTTTCAAGGTTGATTCACCATTTTCATTTGTGAAAACGAGGTAAATTCGAGCAATATAAAGAAATAGAAACCATTTGTCGACATGCTGTCTTGCAGGGTCACTGGTCGAAACTTTATTTTCTCAAGGAATATTTATTACACAGTGTCAGCAATCTGCAATTGAATTCTAAGTGTTGCAAACAGTTCAAACGCCTTTCCTGGAAAATATTTTGTCCAATACATCAGTTAATACTTGATTAATTAAAAGCACTTTTACTGCAGGCTATAATCTGTTCACTGCTAGTTCAACTTCACGTGCAGGTCATTATCTGTCATTCAAGCAATCTTAGTTTTCTATTGAGCCATTTGAATGCCACCAAAGTAGACCAAACATGCAAAGTAAAAGTGAACCCACTGCTCTAATCTTTGATTAATACTAGTAATTTAATAATTATTCATAATTAGGACTAGGGGAATTGCTTTGACCAGTAATCTATTGTTCAAGAGCCAGTGAAGTAACTCATTCAGACAGAGGGGTAGTGGGCGGCGACCCAAGAGGAAAATGGGTCCTGGTCAAAAATGGGAAAAGGCCTGGCTGGAGTGAAGGTTGACCTTAATCTCACTTTGGTAAGGAGTTAAAGAGGGAGTGTTAAAAGCGTTTTGCCCGTTGCACCAATTAAGATCTTAATTGTTTTTTTGGTAAATCAAAAGGGGAGGGGGTTGAGATACCCAGCAGACCCTTCCCCTAGGTTACAGTATGTCATGGTTCTGACCTTCTGCATTGACAGTAATTCATAACCAATTGAATTTATAAAGTTTATCTCAAACATTAGCTTCTGCTGTTGGAGGGGCAACGATAGAAGGGTGACAGGTCTGGTATGATGGCAGGGCTTGGATCACTGCAACAAAAATCACTGGACTTGCCTGGCCCTTTCAAACTTTCTTTATATTACAACCCTTGGGATTTGAATGGGTTTATATGTCAGACCCCTATTGCTGATGGTTACATGGCATTACGGAGGAGGAGGAGCTGGTGGGGCTAAAGGGTAGGGCCTGGTAGGGCCTTTTTTTCTTGGGTTGAATCTTAGGGTTTGCAAACGCAAGATAAATTGCCAAACAGTGATGGCTAGTATGTTTGTCTTGGCCAGATTTTGTTGCCCCACCACTTTAAAATGGTCTCTGTGGTTTCTACATTATTTATGAAATTATCAGCAGAATAGCTGCTCACACTCGGAAGTCACAGGGTAATGAGCGATTCAAATGTGGGTACCTAATTACAATACTATGTGAGTTGTGGAATTTCCGTCCCACTTCACACTGTATGTCAGTGCTTTCTCACAATTGTCACTAAGTACATGCATAGACAGTTCCAGGGGGGAGGAATGTAGGGTTGCTACCCACCCTTCCTTCGTGAGATGTTGTTTGGGCTTGTCCTGTCTTCATGAATTTAGACTGTTCGTTGGACAGTTACAATTCGTTCCTCCTCTGATGTCATGAGGTCTTTGATCTTCCACAACCAAATGTCCATTCAACAAGTTTTCACATGCTAGTGCTTTATCATATATAATTGCTTCTAACAAAAACAGGTGTGTTAAGCCTTGACTGCTTATCCTTGCTATTTTTCCTGGCTATTTTCTTGGTCGTGAATAACTTGATTATAGTGATGACTAGAATGTAGATTTTGGTCATAATAAGACATTGATCATGAATAACCCTGTTCTGTTTAAAGAATGCCTTGCCTAGTTAAGTGTTTATATGCCAGCACCAGCAAATATATAGAGGATATTACACGGTGGCGAGAAGATGTGAATTTTATGTTCAAGTGGCAAGAACAATATTTCACGAGTGAGCGTAGCAAACGAGTGAGATATTGTTCTTGCGACGAGAACATAAAATTCATATCTTTGAGCTTACGTGTAATGTTCTTTTTATTGCAAATACTGATGACGGCGGTTTTGACGATTATACAAGGATTTCCAACCACTTTCCGAAGATTTCCGAAGATTCTCCAAAACTTGCCCGAAGGTCACACGAACGTTGACGAACATTTCCCGAAAATCTCCGAAGATTACCGAAGATTTCCGGAAATTACCGAAGATTGCCGAAGACTTTCGAGGAAGATCCCAAGATGTTTCAATGATACACCAACGAATTTAAGTACAATTTAAGAGG